CTACATGTCATGGGCCTCATAGAAGACCATTTCAATTGCACTTTAACTAGCATCTTTAATTCCTGTGTTGCTTTAACTTTACTTTGCTTGATCTCTCCTCTCTCTCTCTCTCTCTCTCTCTCTGTCTCTCTCTCTCTACACACACACACACACACACACACACACAGAGTGTTATTTGTATGTATATTCTCAGCACTATTTATTACTGTCCCTGTCTTTAAGCTAACTCTTCCTTTGGCTTCTGCAGTGTTGCTCTGACTTGATTTACCTATCTCTCTGACTTCTCTGTTATTATTTTTTTTACTATTTCCTCTGACTTATTATTATTATTATTACCATTATTAAATTTTAAAGTAAATATTTGATATTTACCTACATAGTTATGAGTTCCATTATTTCCTAGTCTATCCTCCCTTTTTTGTCTAGAGAGAGCTTCCCTTCAATATTTCATTTAGCACGGGTCTCCTGAATGAAGAATTCTCTGTTTTTGTCTGTTGATTTATGATATTTTTATTTTATTTTCATGTAAGAAGGTACTTTTGCTGGGTATAGAACTACAGGTTGGCAGTTATTTTCTTTTAGCACTTTAAAAACTTAAGACTGGAGTCTACATCTAGTCCACTGTTGCTTTTAGAGTGTTTTGAGAGTTTAGGTGTTTACAGGGACTTTCTACTAATAGGTGCTGAACTATTATCTGCATTCCTCAGGATTGAAAAACTTCCAAAAACCCCATTTATAGTCAATTATAAGGACTTTGGCTTTTATTCTGTATAGACACAAAGTCTCTGGAAGGTTTGAGCAGAAAAATAATGCGCAAATGGATTTATGTGTTTGCTGTGGTAAGAATATACTGTTGGAAAGCAAAGAGAATACTGGGAAATCCAGTTAAGAGGTTATTTCTAAAATACATATATAATGATGTTGCCCTTCAGTTAAAATCCTTCAGAGATTCCCCCTTATGTCTTTAGGTAAAAATTCGAATTTCTTTCTTTCTTTTATAGATATTTTTGCTATAGGGCGCATGCACTCACTGGAGAGACAGAGACACAGAAAGTGAGAAATCACTCCCCTCCCCCCAAGCGAGGTTGGCCATGCTGGAATCCTTTCTCCATTCTCTTCTTGGGATTTTGGGCATGACGCATGCATGCCTCGTGTGAGTTCTAAGCCGCCGGGCCCAAGGACTCAAAACTGCGGTCAACTACATAGGAGTCTAGTAATACAACCATTATACCATCTATTGGTCCCCAAAATTCAAATTTCTTAAAAAAGAAAAGATTATATCCATGCTCTGGTCCCTGCCTCCTTTATAGCAAGCATTTTATTTTTATTTTACCTATTTCCTTTAGACAGTATTATCTCCTTGGATTTTAGACTATCTAAAAAGTTATAAAGCCACCTTAGGTCTTCATGCATTGGCCTCTGTTGTTTCTGTTTGGACCATTTTTCTCATTAACTCTCCTTTATTGTCTGACTGACTATAACTTATCTTTTAAGATTCAACTTAAGAATTATGTTCTCAGGGCTAGCAGATAGCATAGCAGTTATGTCACTGGACTCCCACACGGCCAACCGATATTTGAGTCCTGTACCCAGTAGCTTGAAACTCATGCCAGGTGTGTGTGCATGCATGCGCAGGATCCTGAGAAGAGAATGGAGGTGAAGGGATTGCAATGTGGCCATAACCCCTGGTGGGGGGGGGGTGATTTTTTGCTTTCTATTTCTCTGTCTCTCTGGTGAACATATGTGCCCTATAGCAAAAATCTCTTTAAAAATAAGAGAATTATAATCTCTCAGGAGAATTTCTACAATCCTCTCTTTCCAAAAAAAAGTCCAATGCATAAGTGAGTCTGTTCTGTGAATTTTATATAATTCAGTGGCACCTACTCTCTGCCAAGAACAGTTTTAGGTGCTAGAGATTCACAGATGAATAAGTTACCAGTCTTTGCCCTCAAATATCCCAATCAAGAAGAGAAAACAGGGACCAGCAGTTAGCATAATGGCTATGTCACTGGACTCTCACATAGCCAACTGCAGTTCAAGTCCCAGACCCGATGGCTTAAACACACACTGGGCGCATGTGTGTGCGTGCCCAAGATCCTGAGAGGAGAATGGAGGAGAAAGGATTGCGGCGTGGCCATCCCCCCGGGGGGTGATTTCTCGCTTTCTGTCTCTCAGTCTCTCTTTCTGGTGAGCGCATGTGCCCTATAGCCAAAAACAAACAAACAAAACAAAACAAAAACTCTCCAAAAAAAGAGGAAAAAAAAAAAAGGAAACACATAAAACATGATTGCATTATAGTATGACAGGTTGTCTTGGGAGGAGGGAGGCAGTAAAGGCTTCATAGAAGCGAAATCCATGTTGGTTTTAAAAAAATAAACCAGAAGAGCCAGAAAGTTGTGTAGTGGTCAAAGCGCTGGACTCTTATATGGTTGATGATGGTTTGAGTCCTAACCCTGGCAGCTTGAAACTCAGTGTTGGGCGCATGTGAATGCATGCCCAAAATCTGAGAAGAGAATGGAAGAGAAGGGATTGAAGCATTACCATCCTACCTGGCGGGGGCGGTGGTTGATTTCTCACTTTCTCTCTCTCTCTCTCTTTGTGTCTCTAGCTAGCACATGTGCCCTATAGCAAAAATCTCAATCAATCAATCAATCAATTAGATTTTATAAAGCATACAAAGCGTGTGGAGAAGGCTAAATTCCCAAGTTGAAGGATCAGTATGTATACTGGTATAGAACAAGATTAGAGAAATTACAGAAAATTTTTATTTGAGCACAAAATTTGGGAGGTGAGTAATGAGAGATGAGTTTGAATTAATGTACAGGTAGTCATAGATTTTATTTGCAGTATATACCTCAGTTACTGTATTCACCAAGCTGTCTTATAATCATTGTCTTCTCCATGCCACTTCCAAATGGATCCTTCTGGGAGGGCACTGGATTTCATTCATTATTCTGCATATTCAGCACCTAGCCAGATATCTGAGCTGTAGTAAATACTTGGTAAATGCTTTTGTTATTAGTGTGGATCCTTTAAGACACTCAAAAGATAGTCTTAAATAAGACTATTATTTGATATTAGTTAAATCTGTGTGTATATTGTGTAGACATAATCAGGTCCAAAGTTTATGAAATCAAATTCTGATAAAACCCAATTAAATATAGATTCTTAATAAAACTAGTAATACATTTGGATCTCATGTTCAGGGTGTGCTATATTCAGTATTACAAACTTTAAAAATAAAATATTATTAAATTATTTTTCAGCTATAAATAACTATTGTTTTTAATTTTTTAGAGAGATTTTTGCTATAGGGTATAGTGCACCCCCTGGAGAGACAGAGACAGAGAGAAAGTGAGAAATCTCCTCCCAGGGGGATGGCCATGCTGCAACCCCTTCTTCTCCATTCTCCTCTTGGGATTTGGAGCACACACATACACGCACCTGATATGAATTTTAAGCCACCGGGTCTAGGACTCAAATCTCAGTTGACTACGTGGGAGTCCAGTGACGTAACCATTACACCATCCGCAGATCCTTAAATAGCTGTTATTGAGACAAGACAAATGAGTAAATACATTTGTCTGTGGTAGGTTTGATAGAAGTTCTGTGTGTATCTTTCCATTTACTCTTGTTCCTTCCTATATCTTTTCTATAGCACTGGACACTGGATAGAGACATTTTATGGTAGAAAGCAGTAATTAGCAACATTCATAAGATCTCTGCAACTCTGGACCAGCCCATGGCCTAGTGGTTCAGATGGCTGGATCCCACGTGGCTGACCTCACCATTTGAGTACAAATGCAGTGGCTTGAGAAACATGCTAACTGTGAGTGTGCACGCCCAAATCCTGACAGGAGGGAGAGAGAGAGAAGACGGGATTGTGGTGTGACCGTGCCCTATGGGGGTGTTTTTCATTCTCGTCTCTCTGTCTCTCTCTACCTGCTTCTCTCTGTCTGTCTCTAGTGATGCCCTCTGGCAAAACAAACAAAAACTCTGCAACTCAGGTAAGGCAGGAAGTTGGTTGGTCTCTAGATTAGAAGACTAATAGCCAGCTTTTCAGTCCTACTATATTCTTGCCTCTTGTTTCCAAAAGGGCATTTCAAAGCACTCTGGAAAGTAACACAAATGTGTTAGAAGTGTTATAAACAGAAGGAAACAAAGGAGGAGACATATAACCTCAAATCTGTCATTGTGAGACATGGTATATCTTCAGAATTTTTGTGATATGAGAAAAATGTGCTGATTAATTACCACTGAAGAAATAGAAAAAGAAAAGGACACAGTCTTTTGAATACACTTCATCTTAAGTGACTTTTCCATGTATTTTTGAAAATTGTTTTTATTTATTCATTTACTTATTTTATTTTGACCAGACACACACACACACACACACACACACACAGAGAGAGAGAGAGAGAGAGAGAGAGAGAGAGAGAGAGAGAGAGAGAGAGAGAGAGAGAGAGAGAGAGAGAGAGAGAGAGAGAGAGAGAGAGAGAGAGAGAGAAAGTGAGAAAGCAAGCCCCCAGGTCCAGGACTTGAACCATGATTGGCCATATGGGAATGTCCAACGCCTTAATCACCACACCACCTGCTGGTCCCCAGACTTTCCCATATTTTCAAGAGAAAAAAATCACTTGAGCTTGTTTGCCTTCTTTTACTATTTTTTTTTTAAATGCTGTGGGCATGGTGGTTAAGGTGCTGGATTGCCACATGACTGACCATGGTTCAGGTTCCAGACCTGGCAGCTTAAAAATGCCAGGCACCCCGTGCATGCATGCTCAAATCCTGACAGGAGAAGGGATTGCAGCATGGCCATGTCCCTAAGGGGTGATTTCTCACTTTCCTTCTCTCAGTCTCTGGGAAGCGCATGCACCCTATGGCAAAAACCTAAATAAACACAGACACACCCAAACAAAGCAAAAACCTTTACTAGGGAGAATCTACTAATCCTTATGATTTTTCCCAACATCCTTTTTTTTCTTCTCCTTTTCCTTTAGTTTCTGTTTGCTACATATGTTGCTCCTTCGGCCACTCTTGATATTGGACTCCAACAGGAAAAGAAAAAAGAAATTTATATGAAAATGCAGCCACCATTTGAAGACCTTTTTGATACAGCAGAAGAATATATCCTTCTCCTCCTTCTTGAGCCCTGGACAGAAATGGTGAAATCAGACCGAGTTGCTTATGGAAAGGTATCGTGGCACTGATAGATTGTGTGTGAGCCATTTAGTTTACTACAAAACTAATGATAATCACATATTGTTAACTCACAGAGGAGAAATGGGAAAAAAAATCCCACTGGGGCAGGGATTTAGTGCTAAGATTTGGGCAGGCTGAAAAACTTGGGCAAGAAAATGTGTATTAACTCTGTTTTTTACAGTTTCTCAATTCCCTTCTATAAAAGTTTTAAAGCCAGGTCATTCTTAGTCCTCCGTACACACCGTCAGGAGAGAGAAATCTGAGTTGTGGTTTTCCGTGAACCAGCAGACTGTGTCACGATAGAATATAGTGGCTTTGTCGCTTCTTGCCATTCCTCAGCAATAAGCTTAATTTTGACTAATGGAAGAAGCCCGTTTCACTTTAAGCCGGATGAGTGACAGTAAATATTACACCCACGGAAAATATAAATGTTTCATACGTACTGTGAAAAGCGGAGCCTGTGACTTCAGTGCTTCTATTTTAAAGCATCCCCAGATGTTCATCAGGTCAGACCGCTTGATTGGATAAGTTTCAACACATCTTTTTTCATTCTGAAAGAAATCATTTTAAGCCTCAGAGCATGAATATTTTCACTATTCTTATTGATGAGTAGAAGAAAAGTTTTAAAAATATTTATTTCGAATCACAAATTAAAACCATCCTTGGATATTTTTTACATTAAATTAATGCATGTACCCTTTACCTGAGGTCATTTCCGGGGTCTTTGTATTACTGTTCTTTGTTCGTATCTCCTCAGCAGTTTCCTAGATAGCCGTGTCTTCTACCAGGAAGGATAGGTTCAGTGATTAAGACAAAATTAACATTTAAAAATCTAGGTTAGGGTTACCTCATTGGATTATAATTGAAACAACTCTTATAGCTTACTAAACTGAATGGTCAGGAAAATTAAGTTTTTATTCCTGATTTCATTTGGTTCTAAAAAATTAGCATAGCATCCTTTCTACTACAAAAATACATATGTTATACTAGGAAAATCAAGTTATCATATAAAATTTTTAAGAATTCTCTACAGTCATTATTTTAAATATAGTTAATAGCGTAAAGGAAATGGTTCTCTGATGGTGAAAAAAATTTAGAATTGGGAACCAGCAGTTAGCGTAATGGCTATGTCGCTGGACTCCCACGTAGTCTACCGTGGTTCGTGTCCCAGACCCGGTGGCTTAAAACTCAGGCCGGGCGCGTGTGCGTGCGTGCCCAAGATCCCGAGAGGAGAATGGAGGAGAAGGGATTGCGGCGTGACCATCCCCCCTGGGGGGTGATTTCTCGCTTTCTGTCTCTATGTCTCTCTCTGTCTGGCGAGCGCACGCGCCCTACAGTGAAAATCTCTTTCAAAAAAAAATTTAGAATTGTAACTAAGTTTTCTAAACTGAAAAGTATCAACATTAGTAATGATTCTTATAAAATGCATGGGATGGGCCAGTAGGCGGTGTGGTGGTGGAGGCACTGGACTCCCATGTGTCCTACTGTGGTTCGAGTCCTGGTTCTGGCAGCTTGCTTTCTCACTTTCCTTCTCTCACTTGGTCTCACTCTCTTGTGAGTGGCTGTATCAAATTGAAGAGTGATAGTGATAATCAATAGAAGTAATAATTCTTTTTAAAAATTCATGGGACAAATTATATACTGTTTTTAATAGGAGGAAAAATAAATAATCCTTTCTTAGTGGTAGAGACTTCCTTAACTTCAGCCAAGAGGACTTTTCTATAAAGTCAACCAATTGAAAAATTCCCAGAAAGGATAACCAAGCAGATAACCAAAGCTAGTTATTAAATACAGAAAGTTCTTAGGCATCTCATCAGCCAACTGGTTTTTCTCTGCAGTAGAGAAATGGTGAATTGTCTTGTTTTCCTGTTAATAAAATAGTGCATTGCCCACTCCGTAGACCGAGTCCTGCTTCATGATTTCATCTGATGATTGACTGTATCTTCTTTTGCTGTAGCAATAAAGCTTTTGCTCACAGACTAAAAACAATAGTAGGTAGTTCTGCTCTGAATTACTTGGTCCCTAAAGCTAGCAATGTCTTCCTTCATGACTACTGTTCTGTTATAGTGAATAGAAATCGGAAACGTAGCCAACATATTTGTATTGCTTATTAGTTTACCTGAGGCATTCAAAAGGAGAAGTGATCTTTGGTGGCACTTTACCGTTCCCTGGAAATATATGCACTTTTTTTATCACATGCATTTGAAGTGTGACTGCTGTAGTAATATTTTTAACTACGTTCCTGTTTCTGATGTTGCCTCCAAAAGAAATTACTTTGTTGGCAACTGTAGTTGTTTTTCATACCATGGTTATTGGCAACTGATCCATCCCGTTTCCCCACTTTTTCATCATGCACATTCTATTGATGTTACAAGCTTTATTATTGTTCATTTGTAATTTTAGGTGGAGCTAGTAGAGGAAACTCGACAGCTGGATTCCGCATACTTCAGAAAGTTACAGGCTTTGCATAAGGACACATTTTCCAAGAAAGCTGAGGTATGACAACTTTATACTTAGAAAAACAAACTTTCTATCCCCAAAATGTTACTACTTTAAGTAATGGGGAGGAGCTTGTATAAAGAGGAGATCATGTATTGGTAAAATAAGGGACGGGCAGTTTCATTTTTCTGCTGTTACTTTGCCTTCATGCTACATTTGACAGGTGTCACATTTTGTTGACACATTTAATACCAGTGCCTGAAAAACAAAATATATAAAGTATGTCTAAGTCCAGTATTGCATTGCTAACAGAAATATCTGAGACTGGGTGATTTACGAAGAAATAACAGTTTACTGACTCATGGTTCTGGTGGCTGGAAAATCCAAAGACATAAGCCTGGCATCAGGCTGGCCTACTATGTGGCTGACAGGACTTAAGATGGCAGGCATTTTCTGAGAGAGACTTAGAGTAAGCTGTGGGCAACTTGTTCTCTCTTATAACGACCAGCTCTCAAGAAAACTGACCCTTTCTCAGTAGAGTTAGAACTCATCAGATCTTATAAGACATCATTGATTTACTCAAGAGAATGTTGTCCCCATGATGCGATCACCATGATACAATCACCACCCTCTAGACCTTCCCACCTCCCACTACAAATTCCCAAATAAGAGACTTTGGGGAACAATCATTATCTAACCATAACATTATACCGTAGGCCTCCAGGGTTCATATTCTTTTTCTATTTTTAAGAAAAATTTTTTTGCTATAGGACAAGTGCACTTGCCAGAGAGACAGAGAGAGAGACAGACAAAAAGTGAGAAATCACCCCCTGGGGGAATGGCCCCTCTGCAATCCCTTCTCCTCCATTCTTCTCTCGGGATTTTGGGCATGTACCCGGTGTAAGTTTCAAGCTGCTGGGTTTGAGACTTGAACCACAGTCGACTATGTGAGAGTCCAGTGACATAACCATTATGCCATCTGCTGGCCTCTCATATTCTTCTGACATATAAAATATAATCATTCCATTTCAATAGTTGCAAAAGTCTTAATTTGTTCCAGTACCAACTCAGAAGTCCAGAGTACAGTCTCAATCTGAGACTTAAGTCAAACTCCAAAGTAAAAAAAAAAAAAAAAAAAAACCCCAAAACTACATATTCCCAAAATGCAATTGTGGACAAGGCACAGTGTATAAATTTCCATTTCACCTGAAGGAAGGAAAAACAGGTCCAACCAAGTCCAAAAACCCAACCGAGCAGACATTCAATCCTGGAACTCCATGTGCCATTTCCTGGATGCACTGGGAGTGTTGGACTCCCAAAATACCAAGTAGCGTTGTCCTGTTGGCCCTGTTAGGCTGTCCTTGGTTCAGCTTTCTTTAGTTGAAATCTCCTGCCTGCAGCTCATTGAGAGTGGTGCTGCAATTGATAGCACCACAATTCTGGGATCCCCCATTGCAGCTCCAATGGGCATAGCCCTCCTGTTGGATTCTCTCTGTTCCAACTGTACGTTTCCACTTGGCTTTGTCCTAATGGAATCTTTCTGTAGTTATCGCACTACTGCAGCAGGACTCTGCCTAAGCTAAAGGGCTGTCTGAGACATCCTTTGAAAGCTTGTTGGAATCCTGCACATTTGAATTCTGAGAGCTTGAAGAACTATCTACACGTGCACATAGCCAGCGTGGGCTACTTGTGTGTTCCAGAACAGAGTCTAGAGCAGCAGCCTAGAGCAGCAGCCTTAACTGCAGGCTGAGCTCCAACTGGGGCTGCTTGAAACAAAGCTAGGACCAAAGAATGCTTTACCTGGCTGCACAGAGCAGAGTCCCCAGGCAGCTCAGGATAGTAAGCCAACCCTGGGCCGGTGCCCTGAAATCCTTCTCCTGTCTTAGGCTTCTATGCTTGTCATGGAAGAGGCAACACCTCCCGTTTTTTTTTTTTTTTTTTGTCAATAATCATCTGGATCCTTTCTAGCCCTGCTAATGTGTTTAACAACCAGTCTCAGCCATACTTTTCTCTGCCAAGCATGCTTTTTCATTCGTTGTTACCTGGTTGGGCTACACATTTTCCATTTTTTTACTCTGCTTGTCTTTTCATTGTAAGTTCTACCCCTCAATTATTTTATTGCCCTGTCATCTCACTAACTACAGTTAATAAGCACACAATTCTTTCTATATTTTTTTTGAAATATCATTTGCCAGTTCTTCATCACTCTTAAATTCAAAATTAAAGCCTTAGGACATGAAAAATTTATAGCCATATTCTTTTTTTTTTTGGAGAGATTTTCACTATAGGGCGTGTGCGCTCGCCAGACAGACAGAGAGAGACATAGAGACAGAAAGCGAGAAATCACCTCCCAGGGGGGATGGTCATGCCGCAATCCCTTCTCCTCCATTCTCCTCTCGGGATCTTGGGCACGCACGCACACGCACCCGGCGTGAGTTTTAAGCCACCGGGTCCGGGACACGAACTGCGGTCGACTACGTGGGAGTCCAGTGACATAGCCATAGCCATTACACAAACTGCTGGTTCCCTAGCCATATTCTTTTTTATTGTGTAACACAGATAACCTTTTCTCTAGTTTTCAATAAAATATTACCGCTTTCCTTTGAAATCTCAGAACCGCCTTTACTGTTGATGTTTCTATCCGTGTTATGATTATCACCATTTAACCAATCTCTAAAGAGTTCCTGTTCATTTATTTTTTTTCTTTAAAGAATTATTTACTTATTTCCATTTGATATTATTATTATTTTTTAATTTGACCAGATAGAGAAAGAAAGAGAGAAAGGGAAAGTGAGAAAGCAGGCCACCAGCTTGCTTAACCATGGTCATCCATGTGGTCATCCATGTGAGAATTCAGCTCCTTTAACCACCATGCCACCTGCTGGCCCCCTGTTCGTTCTAAACTATTCTTCCAAGTCCGTACCAGAAATGAGGCTTTTCCTAGTCTTTTCCTCACTACCTGTGACCCAGCTCCAAAGCTGTTTCCACTTTTTCAGATATCTGTAGTTACACAAT